CTTCAACTCATAAAACTTCTCACTCAATCATACACACAGCTTTATCTTTCTTGAAAGATTTCAATTGTCTTAAAATGGCGAAACCGAAAAACATATCATATACTCAAAGATTGGGTTGTGAGAGTCTCCTTGGTTGTATTTTCGAAAGTTGGAGCCCTCGCAAGCGGAAACCCTCTTTGCCAGAGAAAGATCACAAGGCAAAAGATTACTTGCCTGCCAAGTCAACCACCATTACAAACCCTAAAATCCTTGCAAGAAAATCAACAGGTTCTTCTCCACAAAGTAAACCAAGAAAGTCATCAGATTCGGCCAGAAAATCTGTCTCGTCAGCTTCACCAAGACCAGAGATCAGCAAGACGTTTTCACCTAACGGCGTGATGGGAAACATCATCGTGAGACCACAGCCCACCGTTAACTCTACCGACGTGGCACAGACGAATAGTCGGTGGGAGGGCAAAACCGTAAACTACAGATTGGGTCCGGAGGATCTGAAGAGAATGGGAAACGAAGAGTATTCTCGTGGACGGTTTGGAGAAGCTCTTGTGTTTTACGAGAGAGCTATATTAGCTGACCCTAAAACGCCGACGTATTGGTCTAACAAATCCGCAGCTTTGATCAGTCTTGGTCGTCTTTTAGAAGCTTATAATGCTTGCGAAGAAGCTTTAAGGTTAAACCCTAATTACGAGAGAGCTCATCAAAGACTCGCTTCTCTCCAACTCAGGTAGAGTCTTATTCGCTATGTGCTCTTTTGTTTATACATTACTTGGTGTCAAAAAGTGTTGATATGCCTTGAATCTAGTGTGATTTAAACGGTATAGAGTCACTCCTATATGGACCTCGATATTCTGTTTAGTCTTTTAAACCCGCGAATCCATGGGATTGAGTTTTAGATATGAGCATCCCCATGGAAGGATTATAAGGGAGATTCACACGTTTTTCAAGGTAAAAAGTGGTGAATCCGTGTCGCGTGAGCTTGATGCGGTGATACCGGATCGTCACTGGTTCGTCACGTGGCAGTCCATGATTCGCTGATTTTTTTTCTTTTTTTTGAAAAAGAAACGAAAAAAATCTCTATAATATTATTTGAGAAGTCAGTTTCCTATGTGTCGCGCTCACGTTAACTCTCACGGTGGTTGATTACATAGATACCCTTAATGAATTATTAGATTTTAAGATTATTATTAAATTTTTAATTTAGTTTCTTTTTTACTTTTTTCCAAATAACATATATTATAAAAAAGGAAACATTTCTAAATTTTTTTAAAAAAAATTAAAACGAAAATATATGTATATAATATGACTTTATTAAAAAGGAAAGTTCACAAAATAGTAATCCGCATTTAATATATATTTTCAAATAAAATAAAATATATTTTCAAAATAATAAATATATATATATATATATATGTTCATGAACATCCAAAAAATTTTCAGTTACACTTTATTTTCTAATTTAGTTTTTTGGAATCAACATATAATTTGATAAATATTATGAAAATACATGTATATTTAAGCGATAAATAAAACTAATTTGATTTGACTTAACTACAATAAAGAGTAAAATATTATTATGAAAATACATATATATTTAAGCGATAAATAAAACTAATTTAATCTTACTTAACTAATATAAAAAGTAATTATACTTCAATTTTAATTTAAAAATATATTTATACTCAATATACTCACAAAATGAATGACTCGACTAATCTAATTTATATCTAAAGTTAAACATCTAACTACAATAACAACATATAATTTTATAATAATAATAATAATAATAATAATAATAGTAATCTATTAATTGTATACATATAAATTAGAGGTTGACTCAAAGCATATATAAAAGAGAGAAAAAAATAACAAATTGCAATTTAATTATTTTGTGGAATTTATATATATGCATGAGACTTCAAAATATTATCATTATATTCATTTATGTAATTTTGAATCAAACACTTCAGCTTATTATTTATTTCATTTTAAGCATAATATATATTAAGTTATACATAATTTAACTATAATATATTTACATATCTAAGACAATAACCAACAGAAATGAAAATAAGAAAATTAATAAAATTTTTATTACATTTAGAATAAAAATATTATAGATGAATTCAAAAAATAGATATTATCCAATATACGAAATTGATAATCAAACCGATTTTGATCCAAAAAAATAATTAAACTGACAATAATATATCCAAGTCATATGTATAATTAAAATAATATAATATTTATTAATATAAATTATACATGTAAATTGATTTAAAACGAAAATTAAATATCAATTAATTATTATAAAATTTTACTTTTATGAATATTCATACCCGTGCATGAGCACGGGAAAATCACCTAGTAATAATTAAAAAGCGAACTAGGAATTCGTGCCCAGCCAAATCGCCGATGGAGATGCTCTAAGATATTCATATTCTGAAATGATCTCTAATAATATGATTTATCTTTGCATGTGGACGTAGCCAATTTGATAAACCATGTAAAAATTTTATTGCATTTATTCATCTATTTTGCATTGTTATTTTCACATTCCTAATAACACTAATTGATTAGAAATACAAAATGACAAATTATACCATGACTTTTGTTTGTTTTTTTTAAATTAGATTGGGTGAGGCTGAAAAAGCTTTGTGTCACTATAACCAAGCTGGAAAATACACAGAGACAAAACATATAGAACAAGTTGAAGATGTTATAAAATGCTTAAGGAGGTGTGACGAAGCTAGGAGATCAAAGCAATGGAACCTTGTCTTGAAAGAGACTTGCTTTGTAATATCATATGGAGCAGATTCTTCTCCTCGGGTTAGCTTTCTTTCATGTTCATATCATATATCTAATGTTTTTATATACTAACGATGAGGCAATGTCAAGGTCCATGCGCTCCAAACCGAGGCACTATTGCATCTTCAGCGACAAGAAGAAGCGTATGACGTGTACCAGAAAGGAACACAACGCTTTGATATCGATTGTTACATAAAGATATTTGGTCTTTCCATTACTTCTTACCTCTTAATGGTCGGAGCTCAAGTCTACATTGCAGCAGGAAGGTCAGTAAATAGAGTTTCATTACTTCTAAAATGTGAAGAGACTCATGTTGTTTTCTTTTATGGACAGATTTGAGGATGCATTAACGGCGTCAAGGCAAGCGGCTAGACTGGATCCAGGCAACGAAGAAGTTAACTCAGTGGCTACAAAAGCGAGAGCGGTTGCTGAGGCGAGACTCAGCGGAAATTTACTATTCAATGCGTCCAAATTTGAAGCGGCTTGCGTGGTTTACACGGAAGGACTAGAGCAAGATCCCACCAATGCCCTCTTGCTATGTAATAGAGCCGCCTCAAGATTTAAGCTTGGTATGTACGAGAAAGCTATAGAAGATAGCACCCTGGCTCTTAATCTTCAGCCATCGTATCGGAAGGCTAGGCGGCGAAGGGCGGATTCTTATGCGAAGGTACATTTTTAAATGTCAATTCGATAACCGGTATAAACCTGTCCTAACTAGTATTGTGATGTGTAATGAATGTTCATTTGGTTTACTCTCAGTTGGGGAAATGGCAACAAGCCATTCAAGATTATGAGTTTTTGATGATGGAGACACCTGGAGATGAGGACACTAGAAGAGCCTTGGCTGTGGCAAATGTCCGGTTTAGGAAACAGATGGGTGGAAATGTCCGGTTTAAAGGATTTAGCTCGGGTTTAGTTGTTGTGAATGAGATGGGGGTTTTGGGTTAGAGTAAGTTTAATTGTATAGTTTTGGTTTAAGAGATTCATAAACTTACAGATTGTGGCTGCCTTGTTTTATTTGATCGATTTCTTAATTTAGGGGATTTTTGTGTGTGTGTGTGTGTGTTTACTATCAAAATTTTGTATCAAACGAATAAAGAAAACTTCGTCCCATAAGGAAAATAATCTGAAAAATTATCTTTTTAGCAAACTCAATTATAATTTCTCATAATTTTGATACTTGAGGCTTGACTATATACTAGAAATGGCATAGGGCTTACGACTTCCTAGGCACAGGACATGGTGTTTACTCGATAACATTTATGTGTTCTAGCTGGATTAAACCAATATGTGTTATAAACTGATCAGAAACAAACCATCTAATCAAACATATTCACTAAGGTAAAGTATGATAATCAAATAAATTCACTAAAGTAATGTATGATTATTTCATTATTATCAATACTACTTTTATCAAATGAGAGCTATTTTCAATACTACTTATTATCGTAAAACGAATCCTGATTTACCACAAGATGAACAAAGACATCGAAAAGAATGAAATAGACTTTCATTATAGATATTTGACAATAATCATATGTAAGCTTGTTTCTGTGATCATACATATTAGAGTAAATATTTACTCCAAACTCAATTTTTATTCTCTTTTCAACTTATTTATTGTCAATCAAATGGAATAAGTTTTCAGTCATTTTACTCTAAAAATGAATGAAACTAGAATAAATATATCTCCACTTTAAAGAAGTGGGAAACTTTACTCCATTTTTTTAAAAATCCTCTCTTTCCCATTTCATTTTTCCAGCATTTTACTCTATTCTTAACCAATCAACCATTTTACTCTATTACTAAGCAATCAACTCTAGGTCTCCCACAAGCATAAAAATGGAGATATGGTCCATTATAAATGAATGGAGCAGATTGATGTCTCTGTTTCTTTTGAATTTTATAATATAATTATACATTTATACTATGGTTCATTTACTTAACTACTCATCAGTTTATATAGATATATACTAACATATAATCAAACACAAAATACAAAGGATATTATCTATTAAGCATATATTGTAAAAAAAAAACCTTTTGAGATAAAAGACAGGGGGATCCTTGCAACTCAAGAAACCAAAAAGCAGTATCAAGATTAAGTAAATAGGTAATCAAACTGATGGTAAAAAGGCTTAATCACACTTTTAAAATACGATGATTAATGGTGAGTAACCGTAGATATGGTAAAAAATTTAGCTTTTCCAGCTTCGACTCCGAGACAGAGGCTCTTGAGTTCCTCCGACAACCCAAGTTTCCTTAGCAATGTCTGAAGAGAGTCTGTAATAATCAGTATCGTATCTCATCAACACTAAGTCCATCTTCTCTTCCTCCACTGGTGATCTCAAATCCTTCTTATCTTTCTTCATACTCATCTCGTGATCCTCTGTTTCCTCTTCTTGGTGCTTCTCTCTGTTTTCTTGCTCTGTTTCCTCTTCTTGTTGCTTCTCTCTGTTTTCTTGCTCTGTTTCCTCTTCTTGATGTTTCTCTCTGTTTTCTTGCTCTGTTTTCGCTTGTAGTTTCTCTTCTAACCAACTCTTCGCTGGAGCTGATCTACACCTCATTAGCAAAAGCGCGTTTGGCGGTGGAACCGCCGGTTCAACGTCTGAGTTTTCAAGAACGCACTTGTTGTTGTCTTTGCTGTTACTCTGTTCCTCTTGTAATACCATAAACCATTTGGAGAAAGCAGTCTTCGGATCATCCTCCTCCTCCTCCTCCTCTTCTTCTTCTTCTTCTCCATCCTCATCTTCGTCGCTAGTGACATCAGCATGTCTGAAATCACCAAAACACCTGAAATCGAATCTGATATTCCTCAGACAAGTCAAGAAACCCATCACATCTTTCTTCACTCCAAAAAACTTGCTCTGTTTTTTACTGCTATGTATCCTCTCGATCTCCTCCATCACCGATCTCCAGTTCTTTCCTTTCCCGCCGTGTTTGCTCGGCCGGACTTTGATCTGACCGGCGCAGGTGACTTTAGGCGAATCGGGTTCGTCTATATTCTTACTACTTGCTTGTTTAGCCCATAAAACAGGACTTCCTTGTCCTCCTCCACCGCCGCCGGAGAGTTTACTGACCTGACGACGGTGGTGGGGACGACGGTGGGTGGAGTCGGAGGGACGAGTTGGGCTAGAAATGGGCTTAGGAGTAAGAGCTAAGTGGGTTCTTGGAGGGAAACAAACCAGCAAATCTGTAGAGTAACCAGAAGAAGAGGAAGAAGATCCTCTGTTTCCATCTCTTCCTTTGATCATAGCTTTTGTTTTTTTTGGGATTATTTGGTTTTTGGAATCGATCGAACTCTCAATGGAAGGGTTCAGCTTTTTATAAAATTCTTATTGTTTTTATAAACTTTTCTTTCTAGGCTTTGAAATTCCTGTGCTTACAGCTCCTTACATGCTTTTTGCTTTTGAGGGGAAAAATATTATTTTTCATTGAAATTCTTTCCTAAAAATGTGAAAAACAGGTGGTGCAATACAAACTGTCTTTGTAAACTGTTCATATTTATTAAAAGATGATGTAAACTTGGTGGATAAATATGAAGAAGTGATGGGGTCAAAAGAGTGAAGGACTGAAGTTGGTTCATTTACAACTTTGTTCTATCATGTACAAGAAGCTTCGTGACTGAATGAATCACTTTCAACATTCAAAGAATCAAAGGTCGTTACCACTTCTTCTTCTTTGAGATTTATGCTAATATCAAATTTGCGGGGTTTGTATTTATTGGGTGAATCTAAGTATTTAGTGTACTAAATGTGACATCATTATCAACATGAATTGGTCATAGTTTTTCATTTATTTGATAGACTCAAATTTCAAAGTTTTTTTTTTCTGGTGATTTAGTATATGAACATAGTTTGTGTGTGGAAGTACATTCATAGATTAAAATAGTTTATCTGCATTACAAAAAATAAGAATTAACATGTGAACATGAGTGTGACGAGTGTGATGATGGGTTAGAGTCGAATGCTCCGATAAATTAAGTTGGAAAGGTTACGTGGGATTTACTTTTGCAAATTTAATATAAAAATCATCATATTATTATATGAATAGAAAAAAAAGAAAGACAATGGTATAAAGAGGAAAAAAGTTTGGAAGGGCACGAGGCTTGTTTCTTTATCCAATGGTACTCATAAGCTGTAAGGTCACATTTCACTTTGTTCTTGTCATCTTCAACCACAAACCATCTCCCAGTTTTAACTACCTTCTAACTATATCACTAAACTATAGCAACAACATTTCTCTTTGTTGTTGTCACAACAGTTGAATTCACATGAAATGGATAAATAGGCATGCTCGATTCTCTGCCTTCACTCAAGATCACTTAAACTTACCAATGATGCTATAATTGCGTCCATGCCTTCAAAGTAGTACTGTATAGATTTGCTGGAATGATATATACATGCACTTGGACAAAAATCAAATAAATAGAAACTACCAGGCCCCAACGATCAAATAATTTAAGGGATGAAAAGAAAAGTTAGGTATGTGTTATCATGATAAGTTGATCAACATTGAGGTAGGCCTTTAGCACTAGGAAAAAAAAAATTATTTAACATTTGAGTAGCTATCCCTTGAAAAATAAATTATGTAAAGGATCATATTGTGTTTTATATAAACTTCTAAAAAAGATTAAGTAGATGAAGATAGTGTTTGATTTAGTTGTACTCCTGAGAGCGACAATATTGAGAAATCATGTGAGTAGGGCTTAGGCATTAGCTAATAGCCCCATTCGGAAAAGCTAAAGCAATTCATTTTACTCTTTCACATGTTGAAGATTTTTTGCTTTCTCAAATCAGAATGAAACATATTTTGATTATAGATAATATTATATACTTATGTCGTAAACGTAATCTTGATATATTTTTGTAACTTCGCTTAATGTAATCGTAACAGTTGAGACAAACTACATGATAAATGTGACAAATACGAAAGCCTGATATATGAAAACTGTACTAGAGTTTTTACCCGCACATTCGTGCGGGTATATTTTTCATATTTAAAAATTTATTTAATATTAATGTAAATATTTGAAATATATAATTTATATTTTTATGTTATATATTGTGTAAATTTATAATCTAATTGGTGTAGGTTTTCATTCAACATTATTAATAAATAATATTCTTTAATTTTTTACTTTGAAAGTTATAAAATAGTATAGAATTCTTTTTTTGTTATTATAGTGAAATTTTAATTAATATTAATGCATGATAGTATGATATTATTAATTAAGAAATTCATTATTATTTTGTTTAATAATAAAACATTTAAAATTTTAGTAAGATTTTGTTAGATTTTCTCTCAACTGATTTTGTTATAACTAAAAATAGAATGTAAATCTATTATTTTTAGCATATATGATATATATTTGATTGATTAACCTAAATAATTTAATATGTCATACTAAGAGTAATTAATGAAATGGTTCTATGTGACTTTTTTGTAGTAGATAAAAATAGTGACTCTATTTTAATAGAATAGATTAATTAACACTTTTAACTTGCAATTATTCATACCTATAGGCTATGCTTGGTAAGTAACAAAAAAAGGCTATGCTTGGTCACTCACCAATCAAAATTTTAATATGTGAGATATATCATATATATTAGGTTTTATTAGTCTTTTTTTATTTACAAGAAAACAATATTTTTCATTTAAATTTATGCCGGGACCACCTTTTGTTTTAATAATAGAGGATTAATTTATGGTTTGCAAATTTATATAATAATGTTAAGAAATTTTACTAGTGACCTAATCAAATAACAATCCGTTTGATCGTGATAGTGATGATACCACCAAATGGCTACAAAAACAATTAGTATATAAAACCATGTGTTCTTTTTTATATCAGTTCAAATCTTGACAACTTTATTGCTTATTGTTCAGGGAAGTTTGATGAGGATATTGAAATTTGAAAAGGTTAACGAAATCTCTAAATTTATAACTTTAAAGAAATGTGATTTGTTGTTCAAAAAAAAGAAAAAAGTGATTTAATTACTTTACTCCGGGAACTATTTTAACAGGCCTTAATGGACTTGAACCTGGATCAAATAGACTTGAATCTCGACTGTCATTGCAATTTGCATAATTTTTAATCGCTTGCCTGGAGATGGTTGGTGGAGTTGGAGGGGCAGATGGGCTAAAATTGGTTTAGAAGCAAGGGCTTAGTGGGCTCTTGAAGGGAAACAAACCAACAAATCTGCAGAGTAACCAGCAGAAGATCATTGATGGGTAGGAGGGTTCCTGCATTTTCTCACCAAAGTTCGTGCTATAGCAAGGGGTGTATGATTGATCTCTTTCTTCTCCAAGCAATGTACTTTCTTTTATATTGTAAGAATCATTAAGTGATGCAGCACAACGTGTGATCACGGGGGTTCGCAAATACGATTCGAATAAACGTGTGTTTGCCAAAGATTATTTTTTGCTTTTCTTTTTTTGGTTTTTTATTAATCAGAAATAATATTAGTTCTTCGAGGTGTGGGTTGTATGTTTCTTTGGGCTTTATTCTGCAACGGTGAAGCATCCCAAGGATTTTTGGTTTGCTATTGGCTTCTCTCCGATGAAAAGATCCTGATTTGAGGTGTGTTGTACCCAGGCCTATCTCATATAGGCCATGTGCAAGTTCATTATTATGATCAAATTTTAGGTTGAAATTAAACAAATAAGAAAATTAAACCTTTTCTACAATTTAAAAAAAAAATCAGGACCCTTAAAAATTAACAGAAAAATGTGAAACCCTGTGCATAAGCACTGTTAACACATGGTTAAAAACAGGCGTGGTTGTACCTGGCTTTGTTGTGTGGGTTGGTGGTGGACTTGTTTCTGTCTTTTGGTTTGGTTGTCAAACCTTTCACGTGTTGGTGGTCGATCCTCATTGGAGGTCTATCCTTGTTTCGTTTGGTTGTGTCCTTGTAAACTTTCGATGGTTCTAAGGCTTTTGGTTACTACATATCTTTTCAGTAACTTGAGGATTAAATTTTGAATTTCATTTTGGTTTGTTTGCTTACGTGACCCGTGAGTAGGTTTTAGTTTCCTTTTTATAGGATTTAGTTGCTGAGGAGATCTTGTCTTTGCAAACAAATGTTGGTTTATCATTTGCAAACTGTAGGCGTTTTCATATTTCTTGTCTTCTTGAATAATTAGTCCATTTATATTCGGCTGTCATACAACCCAATAATCAGGAACATAAAGCGGTTCAAGAAGCTGAAATCAAATATTGTAGATTTATTTGAATAAAAGTTGCAGAAATCAGTGCTCTTTTTATTTATTTAAACTCAAAATCATTTATAGTTGGCCCCTGTTTCTCTAATTTATTGTGAAGATATTGTAATAGATTCAATAGTCTTATGTACTAGTTTAGGTTAACAAAATCATTGAATTGTCTTCTTCTTTTTTTGCAAACAGATCATTGAATTGTATTTCTAAGTTAGAATATATACTAATCAAGGACGGACATTACTAGAATGGATACACCTAGTCATATATATTATAGTTTTGATAGTAGTTGTTATTCAAGATCACACGTCAATGGATAATAATGGTGTTAGAGAATTGAATGCAATGTTTTAAATACAACCGTTTTCTATTACGAAACAAAGTTGAAAATGCATGTGAAAGAGAAGATAAATGGATGTGAACATAATCTTTGGTGGGCTCCTTTGATGGTGTCTGGCTTTAAAACTTTCCAGCTTTTATCATGCTTCCTTTGCGTAATTTGGATTTCACCTCTTATAAAAACTACTACTACTTGTAATATCCTTAAGGCATCAAAATATAGATTATTTGAAATGCTAAGAGAGAATACAATTTTAGAAGATTAAAACATGAACAAAACTATAAAGTTTGACTGAGGTGTCACGCATAATATTGTGTGTTTGCTCAAAATGATAATAAAATAAACAGATATTCTAGCTTTTTGTACTTTACAAATATAAACTAGATTCGATGCAAATTTGTTTTTGTATAGTTGGCTGAATTACAATAATAGTCGATGCGAACCGTATCCGAATTTCTAAAAATGTGTGATGAAGATTCGATCATTTTGCTGCCGACTTTGTCTTCTTCTACTCCACTATAGTAAGTTAGTGCCTGAATCGAATTATTGGTTTCTTGATTCTTTTTATTGCTAATGCAAACATTGTATTTAAGCTTGAATTAGTGTATACATGATAGAAGGTGCTGCACGAAAATTCCGGCATGACCATTCGTGAACTGAAACAACAAGAATAATACATAACTGACAACATTGTTTCTTACAAAAATTGATCTAGTTCGAGAACAATCCCATAAAAAGAAATGCAACAACTAGATACAGGGTAATGAAACGTGTAACAAGGTGTAGTATACGTTATGTGGATTATTGTAGAAGCGTTACAGCATTCGCGGATTCCATTTTGCATGTGAACAATTGGCCAACGCAGAAGACAGCTTTTTTTTTGCTTTAGCATAACAAAACCGTTCGGGCTTCACAAAAAAATAATTGTAATTATCAAACACATAGAGATTTATCCTCACCGGTTATGAGTTAGGCGAACGACATCATGAATCTGTTTTTTTTTTGTTCAAACTGTAGTCTATAGATTTTACTCTCCATGAACGGAGGGAATGTTCACATGATACGAAAACATAACCATCTTGACCAAAGAAACACTTATCACAAGGAAGCAAATGCAGCATATAAAGATAAGGACAAACACCACACTTAATTAAACAACTAATGACGTAAAGAAGTCTTCTAAACTCAACGACCATTAAGCTGAAAAGTGAGACGAAACCTTGAGAGTTAAAGACCATAAGCAGTAATATGTATCCCAAGATTGAAACAACAAGAAATACACAATTAACAATCCTTAACATGGCTAAACAGTCTTTGATTAGAACTTCAGTAAAGTATCTCTAATTTTTAACATTAAGCTCCTTGCACCCAAAGAAGGAATTGAGAAAGAAACAAATTCCATAAAGAAGGAATCTGGATAAGAAACATCCAATAAAACCTGATCGACGGGATGAATGGAAATGTGAGACATTAATCCATGAATCTGTTTAGTCAACTACTATTTGAATACACTCATTACACGTACAACAGTAGTATGGATTCTGTAATTAGGTTTAATCTTTGGAACAAAGACTTATTCGTGTTCAGATATCCAAAAATAATTGGCGACCCACTTAACATTTTGAATCACAAAAGCAACAAACCCAATCTTCAAAACAAATTATATTACATGTTCACCAGCATATTCAGCCATTACCTTAAACGTCAAACGGTTTATGTTACTGCCCTCTAAATTTGTAAAAGCAATAACAAAGATCAGTGAGACGAATTCATTTTACTAGAAAATAAACTAAAAACATCGCATTAAGATAGAGAAAATGAAACTAGAAATTACATAGACCCAACAAAAAAAAAAAATACACTGTGTGGCATGGTCGAGCATGACAAAAAACCGCAGCTGGACCGACACAGAGATTTTTAACACAAATTACATAACTTTAACATTAACCACTAATCATACTTTAATTACTCTACTAGCTTCTCTCTGCAATTTCCAAAAACTCCATTGCAGGCAGCTTCTAACATTTACTTACTACCAAGACCCCTAATCTTCCCCCAAATTACTAATTTACCCCTAAACTTCCACCGAACCAATCAACCCAAAATCGAATCCCAATCGATCTCGTACGACGGATACTTCTCCAACGAGAACGTCTCGTTCCACCGCGGCTGCTCCTCCGCGTCGGCGAACGTCAACTCCGACAACGGCGAAGATCCGGCGGACTCAACGAACTCCGTCGCCGGCGGAGAAGTCTCCTCCGCCTTAACCGTCTCCGCTAGATCCGTCGACGTAACCGCCACCGTCGCGGCACGTTTCTTCGACGCCTTCGTCTTCGTCTTCTCCGTCTCCGCCATACTCTTGCAAATAGCTTCGAGCTTGGCATCAACCGTAGAGTGAAGAGCCTTGTACTCACCGATGTGAGATCCGTCGTGGCGTAGGTTAGGGAAGTTAAGCCGGGCGAAATCGCCGCGCAGCTTATACGCCGCCGTATCGTAGGCCAACGCAGCTTCCTCCGCCGTGTCGAACGTCCCGAGCCAGAGACGAGTGCGGTTCCTCGGTAGACGGATCTCCGCCACCCATTTTCCCCAGTGACGCTGCCTCACGCCTCTGTAGAGCTTCGCCGGCTTCGGCGGAGCTCCGAGGCAAGATCCGGCGACGCCGGGTTGTTTCATGAGTAACGGCTTGGGGCTGAGGCTGGATCTGGTGGGAGGAAGAGGAGGAGGATGATGGATCTGAGATTGGATCTGGTGGATTTGGGAAGAGGAGAGGTTGTTGAGCCCGATTAATGACCCGGTTTGTTGAAGATCCGACCCGTAAATGAACGGTTGGGTTAAACAGTCTTCAGGGTTGTATACGGGGAAGGTAGGTAGAGAAAACGCAGACGCTGCGGGTTGAATAAACGCAGACGTGGACGCGGGAGAAGGATCGGAAACGCTGTTGATAAAAGGTAGAAGCGCTTCCATGAGTTCACCACCAAACGAATCTGGTTGTTGAGACGTTCTGCTATTGTAAAAATTCATAGCAGCTTCCATTACAGTTTCTAGATTTAAAATATTTGAAGGATTAAAAATTCAAGAAAATAAAAATGGATCGAAGAGGTTTGAAATAAGCAACCTGATGATGATCCTGAGGGAACAAAAAATTACCCTCGACTAAATCTATGGAAAATAAAAAAGATAAATTCAGAAGAAATTTGAATAAAAACGATTTCTTTCTGAAAATACCCGGCTTTCAATTAAATGTGCGGATTAATAAAAACACAGTTTCGTAAGCTTGACTTTTGGTATGAATAATCGATAAAAACCATTCAAACGTTATATAATTTAGTTCTTGAAAGACAGATGATTAGCAGAAAGGAATCGAAGAAGCGTGGGGAAACCAGATTTTGAAATTAAACGAGAAAACACAATTGCAATTACTAGCTAATTTTTTTCTGGGAGGACACTCAGATTTTTTTTTTTTGGTAGTGAATTTACTCTCAGCCTCACCAGTGATGCTCAACCCTGAGCAGCTTGGCTCTCATTATATAGTGGGGGTTGTCTTCTCACACTATTTTCCATTTTTTATTCATATTATTTTCTGAATTTTGCATTTTTTATTAGTACAACATTTTCGAATAAAATAACATTTTTCATTAGTTAGTAGGAAATGGTTTTGAAATTTGATGATCTCTCATAAACAATATTATTATTACTCCCTTCGTCTTATGATTATGTTTTAGCATACTGATTAGAAAATTATTTAATTATTTACTCTTTTTTACTTCTGTTTAATATATTATTTAATTTAATTTTGTTAATAGATAAATTAAAAATAACATTAATTCTTTATATATTATAGATATAAACTATGTTATAATGAAATAAATTTAAATAGTGAAAACAACACTTAATATTAAATTGAGCGAGTAATAAAAAAACTGAAAATTGAGTAAATAAAAATAAGTAAATAATATTAAAATTACTATTCAGTAGACAAGTTATATTTCACAAAATCTATTGAGTACACGGCGGATGTATATCAAATTTCGTAAATCTTCACATTATATACTGTTCCTAGATAGTAATCTTGCATGCTGAATTATTTTGCTTACGCCGTAGACTTTGCGGTCATGTACAGTAAATTTTTATAGTGCTATTTGACGTAACCTGTGAGCCGTCGGGATATGACATGCTGCTAATGAAGGGACGACGCGTGTGATATGTACAGTGAAGTGGCTTGCAAGTTTACTAATTCTACACACGTGTCACAGTATCATTTGCGAATGGTGGAGTCATTAGTCACACCTGTTTTTGTTGACTGTTCTGGTTTTTAGGTTCACACCTCATGTTAAAACTTATTGGTCAGATTGATATTTGTAACAGTAAGAACATGTAATCAGTAAGAAACTTATGACTTTTTTCTTCTTCTGATTTGATTTTAAACATAGCTGGTTGAATATTTGTGATTTCTGAAGCAAAATATGGTTGAATATTTTAAACATAGCTTTGAATATGACACAGAACAAATGCAGAATAAATGCAGGTATTTATAATGCAGATTGGACTACAATTTTTTCCCATTCAACACAATTTTTGCAGAACAAAAATAAATAATTAAAAAATAAAAGATCTGCATGCAGAATTAAATTACACATTTTGATCTGCAAATAAAGAGAGAAAATGAGCTGGACATTTGCAGATCACTAATAATATATATTTAATTGTTTTGGTTATAATTATTAATATATAATATATTTTACTAATTCATGTTATTTACTTTTAAACTAAATAATTAAATCTTTAAAATAATATTTAATATTTTACTTTATGAAATAATTTATTTAAAGCGAATTTTTAATATATAATATATTTTATTAATTCATGTTATTTCCTTTTAAACTAAATAATTAAATCTTTAAAATAATATATAATACTTTCATTTATAAATAATTTATTTTAAAAATAATTTATTTGTAATATAATAATTTCATACATATTTACATAAAATTAATATATTTAATATATCCATAACTTTTTATATTTTGTTTACAATAATTAGATATATATATATATATATATATATATATATATATATTATTTTTGTATTATCTATTTTTGGCTGCACTAAAAATTAATATATAGTATTTAAATTGATAGAAAAACATACATAAATGATACATTTATCTTTTTCTAATTAGCTTTGATATTTTCAGGTTGTTTTTACATTTAAAGTTTTTAATGAAGATTTTGTTGATAAAATATTAGTTTTTTTGTTGAAAGAAATGATAGGCAAGAACCAAAATTGAGTAAAAATATTAAATTTAAGTGCAAAACAAGAATATTATTTATAATTTTATTTATGTGAATTTTCATATAATTTAAAATTTCGATATATTTATTAAAATTATGATACTTATTGTTATTTATGTCAATTTGATATATATTACTTATTTATAATAAGTTGTATTTGTTTATATATTTAATTTTAATTAAACAATATTTAACATTTATTTAAATATAATAATTTATTAAATTAGTTTGATCTGCGTTTGTTCTGTTTGATCTATATGATCTGCATTTGTTCTACTTGATCTACATTTTTGTTTGATCTGCATTTTGTGATCTGTGGTTCTCCATTTGGAGCCTTTTTTTTTTTTTTGATCAACTCATTTGGAGCCTAAGTTTATGATAGCTTGATCATTTTTGTGAACGTAAGAGATAGTAATGGTTCACTTATAATAATTAACTGGTTGATAATCATGATAAGAATAAAGAAGAGATAAGAATAAGATGGTGAGTGACGGCTCAGAGCTGCCTCCAAAACAGTTGTGATATTCTTATTAATGGGTGACCAAGTTCTTCCTCATTTTTTATTACATTCTTCTTAGTGGAGATAAATAGAAATAATTGTTTAGAACAAAATATAATCTTGGCTCAGAGTCAACTTACATGATAATTTAAGCAATCTATATAATAGACTACCAATAGTAATAATGCAAAACATTAAAAAAATAAAAATAAACAAATTATAGATGCGATGAGTTAATTCATCTGCGGGCGTGAGTTCTTCACTGACATTAATCACCACGAATAGTCTACGGAATGGCCAAAAGAAGAGTGTGGTTTGGAATACATATATCAACGCGGTATATTATAAACAGTATTTGGAATTAAGAAAAAAATCCTAAGACACCGATAGTGATATATGTTTACATCACTATTTCATTTTAAAGTTTGTTTAGTCGCATGTATAAATCATGATAGTTATAATGGGTAGTTTAGACTTTATAAGTTGACATAAATCGTTCAAAAAGTATTAAGAAGGGTCTGGAGCGCTAGAGAAGGATTGGCAGAGAACTCCACTATTATCATTATCATCACCATATAATATTACATTCGTTCATTTTTTAACTGAAGTCCGAACCTTTGGCCATCTTTCTCTTTTTTGAAACTTATCTGGTTCTGTATTTTATTACTATCCGTATTTCTCAAAACTTCTACACAAACGCCCGACCACGAAAAGAAAATACTCGAATGAACTCGTGCAGTATCCATGGTTTTTTTCTTTGACAAATATATCCATGGTTATTTTCTGAATGTATTTATACAGATTACAATAATACAACCGTGATATTCGGTATGAATTCATATCATTTTATCTCGATAAAGAATGACGTTTAAAAAAATGCACGCAACATCCTACACTAAAAGGGTTTGAAACAACATGGTATAAAGTTTAACTGTTAAGGTATCTCCAACTCAACTCCATTTTTTACTCTAAAATAGAGTAAAAGGGAATATGGAGTAGAAAACACTCCAACCCTACTCTATTTTCTACTCCATAATAGAGTTTACTCCATAAATGGAGTAATCTCTTTTTTGTTTGTTTATCACTCCATTATGGAGTGGAAAATGGAGTGGGGTTGGAACATTTTTACTCCATATTCTCTTTTACTCTATTGTGGAGGAAAAAATGAAATTTTACATTGGAGATGCTCTAATGAATGAAACTAAGTCCCACATCGATAATTGGAGAAGTAATTAAGTAATATATAAACGGGTTAAGATTAATCCACTTATCACCAATTAGTGTAAGTTGAAAGCCCATAATAAACTCAAATCTAACATGGTATCAGTGTCCGATCCTAAATTTCTAATTAATTAATTAACCTTTCCGAGCGGATCATATGAGAGTTTTATTTATTAGTAGTGGAAGCTAAAATTAACTTGATTCCCCCAAACCATGTTTTTGAAAGAAAAATAATTGTTTTCCTAAAACATCTGATATAGTGATATGCGATATGTAACATCTAGCTAGTGATTTGTATATTGCATCATTATCAAGTGCATGTTTATATAATACACAAACTTAAGAAGATTAACTCTATGTGGTAAGCATATTGAATTACCCAAAAGTTACATTGGTTGTGTGTATTACACTTGTATTTAAAATTGAGAAACTAGCTAGTGGCCTCTAGAATTTTTATAAAGTTACACTGGTTGTGTATATTATTAAAAAAAAAGTCAGCACTCAGGAGATCACGGAAGACACGAGGGGAAGTATGGGAAGCATGTGGCCTTTGAACATGTACGTTATTTGCGGCGGAAGAAGCTTCGAGTTTCACGGTGAGTACTACAATAGCCCGGCGTATCTGCGCGTCAAATAATAAAAGTATACAATTACAATGAGCATAATATTTTAGCAATCTTCGTAGTTAAAATAGAAAACAACTTTAAGGCTGCGTAATAGAATAAAGTTTAATCGGCAGATAGTACCTAGCTCATGTATTGTCAGAAAAAAATTCTTTTTTTTTTATCAACTCAGAAAGAAATTCTAGTTTTGAAAAATGGATGAGTAACGGTTAAATATACATCTAACAATCTAAAACTAAATTAACATCATAAAAATGCAAGTATTCAGTAATCAATCATTAGAAACGATTTAATTATGTAAAACATATACAAAAGTCAAAATTAATCTATTATCTATGTATATATAAAGATGGAAATCTCGTCCCTTGATTAATATATACAATATATGGATGGATACGTGACCAAATAGCTTCTTAATACACATTTCATCTGTTTAGCTTTTTTTTTAAATGAAATACAGTCAACTGCATAATATATATATATATGAGATAAAAAAGAACAGTTTAGTGCATAATATACATATGAAATGAAAATGGTCAACTGCATAATCAACCCTCTGATTTTAGGAAAAAAAAATTCCATCGAATTAATCTACAAACATTGATTTTATTTTTTATATATTCACAACTATATATACTTTTAGGGTTTCAAGAGCTTTTACATTTTGTTTTGGTTGATAATTGGACTTTTCATAATCCTTCAAATGATCTGTATTCTACATGATTTCGGCCAAGTTATACGGTATTATCTTTATCTTATGCAGGTCTCATAAGGTATATATATGCAACATGTATATAACGTGCCATGTTGTAAGAGTAATGATCAAGAAATGTTATTTGAAACATTGCAGAATAATACAGTGTATCATACTTTGTTAAAGGAATAAACATACTTTGTTCAAGGAATAGACAACTCCCTTGATATAATGTTCACACGTTCGCCTCATATATATTTGCCTCGACACTATAAACCTCAACACGTAGACAGCTAAGACAAGCCTTTCCAAAGGTGTTATTTGTCTGGCATTGCTTCACATTAACGTTTTAAAATCCTGTAAAAGATGATTTATATATATATATATGCTTAATTATTTCTTTAAAAAAAAACTAAAAATCTAACTTGTAATACACGTAATAGCAAAAAGGATCATCAACCTCGAAATTTTAAGATCGGTGGCATGAATTGCGTGTGTCCATGTCATCTCAACGTTACTTTGTAAAGTTTTTTCCAATTTCAGAAAAGTTCCTTTGTAGCCCACTTCACGCGGTTTCCGTCCCACACTACCTGTTTAAAGACTTTTGAATCCAACGACCGTTCGCCACGAGTTCATGATCATTGGCCCAGCTTCTGCTGTCATCTAACTTAGCTGTGTGGTCGCCGTGAACTCTAAACCAACCTCACTCCACTAATGTCTCTGCCTCTCTAAATATCTTTTTTTTTTTTTTTTTTGAAACTCTCTAAATATCTTTTATTTCGTCCCTTGTCAGATAAAACAAATATTTTTTTGTAAAAACAAAATAATACAAAATCAACTTTAACACAATAATGAATGAAGGTCAAATGATTACATATGCAAGTTTCTCTTTTAGAGTTTGACTGCACTAAATTACGTTTCTTGACGTTGTAAATATATCTATTACCGAGCTTTGTCGATCCAACTGATGACTAGAATAATATAAGTGATTAAAATATTTCTTTTGCTAGATACATTTTTGTCTAACTGTAAAGTAAAATTACTCTATCCCATAAAAAAGTAATCGTAAATTTGAGAAAGGGTTAAAGACGTTGTGATTAACTTTGGGAAAAGAAATTTAAAAAAATATAAATGTATGTTTTCAATCATTAAGACTTTGTAGTTAACTTTCTAGATACAAACAGAGATTATATAAATGTAAGTTTTGACTCGATGAAAGATTTTGCAGAAAATAAAAAGGGTTTCGTCGTTTTCAGAGCAGGTGGACGTCGTTTTTAATGAGGAAGGTGAATGGCATGTGAATTTTAGGTGAACTGTAGCAGTCAGATTTAGCTCAAATAATCAATACCTTTTTCTTCTTTGGTTTTATCGTTTTCGCGTGAGATCATGAATAACGTGACATATGGTCCATTTCTTTCATTTTTTTTAAAAAGTACTAGCTAACTAGTACAACAAGCTTTGTATTGTAACTAGAGATCCAAAACTAGTACATACGTTTTGGATTCTATTACGTTGTTCTTAACAACTTGAATTGTAACACCACTAAATATTCGATGATAAATATCTCTTGTTCATGGATATTATAGTTACAAAGTTCCTTAGTGACTAGCTATAACATGTGACACCTCTCAAAGGAAAACAAAAAGAAAAAGTCATCGAAGAAAATAGAATCTATGACTCTTTTATTTTCTAATGAAAAGAAAGTTAGGTGTGGTAGTAATATGAGGAATGTTCCGTAAAAGATTAACATTTGATATAGTGGCTCACATACTTTTTTCCCATATGACAAAATATATATCCACCATCAAATCACCTAACAATCTTTATGTCTAACCAATAACTTTCAGTTTTTTGCTGCTCTAAACATTGTCTCAACCATCATTCTTTCATAGAGCAGAATAAATCACCTAACTAATATTTTTACTATATACATATTCTTTTACTAAACACAACCCGGAAAAACGAAAAGAAACAAATCGATTTATGTACAGGCCAAAAGAAACAATCGCATCTTTATATAGCTCCCGTTGATGAATATATTATTACATATATCATCCTCTTTGCTTCTACCGATTAGTGTCTGATCAGAAGATGGAATCAAACTGTATAGTGGTGTCGGTGCTCATATGGAAAGAAAGCATAAAATTTTAAATGTTCTTTAAGGGAAAGGCCAAAACAAAGTACACAACTAATAAACAAAACAAAAAAAAAAGTTAACTAATATAAAGCCCATTGTGCTCCTATGTAATAGAGGCCAGAGTGTTCAGCCCTACAAAACATCTTATATTTATTCGATCATGATTAATCCGGTCTCATTTTTAGACTAAAAAAAATCTTTTATATCTCTTATAACTAATAAAAGTTAAAAAACTGTTTTTACCCAAATCTAAGAATCTCAATTAAAAAACTAAAGTCAATCATGGTCTAAAATTCCATCTTCTTTGCAATATTATTACGGAAAACACAAATACAAACGAAGACAGACGTATACAAAAAAAGAAGATGATATAATGTCAGACATCTCTTTTCTATATATAGATCCGTCGATCAAGAAAAAAAAACATATATTAAAACCTTTCAACGGGAAAATTTTCAAAATAATAACGATGCAGTGTAATTAGGGTAAAAGGGAAAAGTGGACATACAGTGCGATACTAACGTTGTAATATGAGCACCATCATAATAAGCTTGAGCATAGTTTACTCAGTCACATAATTAATGACGTTGATGACTACCAATAGGATTTCACTATTTCATATTTGATATCTTTTGAAAAAAGAAACAAAATCTTTTTAAATTATATTATGTTTTTAAAAATAAAAATACAAAAATAAATAAAAAATAATAATAATTAATAAAAACGTAAATGATGTCTTTTTAAAAAAAATATTTTAACACTGAACCCTAAATTCTAATCCTAAACTCTAAACTCCTGGGTAAATCATAAACATTTTGATAACTTTTATAAAAAATTTCTTTAAAAAAATATTTTAACACTAAACCCTAAAATCTAATCCTAAACCATAAATCATTGGATAAATCATAAACACTAAACCCTAAAATATAATCCTAAACCCTAAACCCTTGGGTAAATCATAAACATTAAATTTTTAAAACACTATAAGATATATCTAAAGGTTTATGATTTACCCATGAATTTAGAGTTTAGGATTATATTTTAGGATTTAGTGTTAAAATATTTTCTTTAAAAGAATTATTTTTGTTTTTATTAATTAATTAATTATTTCTTTATTTTGTATTTTTATTTTAAAAAACATAATATAACTTAATAAGATTTTGTTTCCTTTTTAAAAAGATATCAAATATGAAATAACACAATCCTATTGGATGGTCATAGGGGTGAACCCTAGAATAAGTTTTATTTGATCGTACCAAACCAAAAACTTTATGTTTAACCATTGTTTTAATTTCTTTTAACTCATTTTGATCATTATTTTCATGGTACATCAATGTTATATATGTTTTAAGAATCGTATCACGTTTGTCTTCTAAAAAAAATTTTTGTCTTCTAAAAAATACAGCTTAAGATTAGGCGACTCCTATACATATTCTAACTATCCTATATTATAAAACTAATTAAGCAAGTTGGAGAGGGGGAAAGCATGAGAGTATACTATCTAAAATAAGATCAAGAATCAAAATAATGGACATATCATTTGAGTGTGCTTTGTTATTGACAGTTACGGGGAAGCTGAAACTGACGCGGAAGTTTGGTGCCTAGATGAACTTGGTATGACTGAGGGTACACAAGCTAGCAAAAAACGTGAAGAGACGTTAATTTGATTTATTTACTTGACTACTAATTTGTCCGTTCACTGCACACAAACACAAAGGTTATATCTGAACTTGAAAGTTGGGCATTCTCCCTTTCACTAGTTAATTTCATCATATGGTCCACACATTTCGTTATTTTCTCTCTGGTCGGATTCCTCTTCATTTCATCGCTGTTTCGTTACAAGCACCAAAATCAATCTGGAAAGTTCACACACAAAGGTTTACTACGTCAAACCGTACTTTTCATATACTATATCTCGATTATTGCACGTGATAGCTACAGATTGCACAACGTGAAGTGTTGTTATGACAATCAACGTAAGAGCAAATAACGAATTGAGCTTTAATACAATTTGAGCTTCAAGCTCTAACAAAAGCACATAGGCTATATTAAATTAAAACAACAGTTAACATTTTCTTATCTCACTATAGTTAATAGTTTGTCTGATCACATTGTTCATGCATGTTTTATTTAACTAGTTGACAGAAAAAGCTCGTATATATTGTCATCCCTACTAATATTTTTACATTATTATTATACAATAATTCAAAAGAAATTTCATTACAGAAAAACCCTCAAATTTAAAGAGAAAAATCCGTAAAAGCTTAGGCATGGACGTTCGTAAAACTCTTTTTAACATTTTATTTTTTTGTCACATTACGACTCGCCTAATATCATTTTGGAACCAGACACATAGCGACTCGCTTAACATCATTTTGAAATTTGGTTCGAGCTCGACTTACTCCTCCGCAACATCATCAGATCATAACTAGAAGACCCAAAAAAATCTCAATTATATATTGAAAGAAAATTAAAGATATGCAAATTGGTTGAACTAGCAAGATCTTAGCTGATAGTCATGGGCTGCATTGGCTATTATATGGGATTGTTTGGGCTCAGCCGCAGGTCCCCAGCCCTCGGCTACGTCGTTTAGAATGATTCGTCCATTCATTGTTCGGTACTTGGTGGCTTCACAGGATTTGCTCAACAAATGTTCCTGCGGTAATCAGTTCTATAATATTTCCCTCTTACAAATTATCAAACGTGTAGTATGTGTTACCCTTCTCTGAACTACACGTTTTAGAGTATGGAGTAGATGAGTTTCACATGCTTCGATCTCCTCCATTGATGTAAACTTCATCGGATCCGGTTCGAATTTCCTATGTTTATTAGCAGATAACAAGCAACATGTTATTTTTGTTTGTTTATATTATATATAGAACAAATTAAAGCAAAATACCTCAGTTCTTCCTCAGAAATCTGAAGCTGTTGTTGTAATCGACAAACCTCTTGCTCAAGTTCCTGTAAATACGCAAATTGTTATATTAATAGTTATTGTAAGTATTTTTAAAAAACTGAGAAATTTGGGAAGTTAATAACCTTGACATCAGAGTGTATAGCCTCAGGGCTTTTTTCCAGAGACATGAAAGTAAAAGGTCAATGTACAGATTTGAATTTTTAAAATACATCAACCTAATGTAGATATATCATCGCTATATCAAATAATAATAATTAAGGTGAAGAAACTTAAAAAAAAAAAGATGAAGAAACTTATTATAAAAGAAAAGAGAAAGAAACCGAGGTTCGTTGATTTGAAGAGCCATGTGCTTCTCGGTTTTGAGTTGTTCAAGAGTCCTTAATAAATACTGTCACCACAACAACAAAATTAATTGCTGATAAACATATGAAGAATAGGTAATTAGATTAAAAGTTTGATCGTTACCATATACTTGTAAGACCCAATAAACTAATACTATTCTATTGATTTAGTCTCACCTCTTTGTTTCGGATACCTCTGCAAAACAAAAAGAGGAAAGATTAATTAGTATCAGATTTTAGATGAAGTTAAGTGTATGCTATATATTAAACTGAAGTGTGATACTCACTGGCGTTTGCTTTGACCGGGGAAAACTATAGCACTGAAAATGTAAAAATATACCCCAATTAAAAATATATCCAAACATAAAAATTTAGTGTTAGATCAAATAGATTAATGTGAGAAATATATACATACTTCTCCCTTTCTTGGTCAGGAAGATTGATGTATCTAGCAAAAACGTCCTCGATCCTGAAATTAATTCAAAATTAAGACAATGGAGATATAACACCATGCATGCATGTGTGTCTTTCCACCAATTTTTATAGATGTTGTGCATATAATTATTTATACATGTCACTATTTTGAAGACACAGAACATACTTAATTAGTTGCAGAGGTGGAATGCCTGGAGGAGACAGAAGCAATGGAGTAACTAGTATAATAGATTTTGTGCTTATCATACTATTCTTATTTAATTAGCGTGTTAATTGTAATAAAAATAACTGAAATAATAAAAAAAACTTTTATCGATGACAAATTTAACTGATAGGATACACGATGAGTCATTGCATGTATTAGCCACTATGTTAATGAGACATGACGTGTTTCCTAGTTAGAGTGCCACTTATATTGTAAGAACAATTTCAGTGCTCGAAATACATATATCTGTCTATTAAATATTACTCCCTCTATTTTAAAATAGAATAATTGCATCCTATATACATAGAATAAAAGATAATTAGCAATGTGATATACGTACTGTTCCTTTTTCAAATATACCTACCATACCCTTATGTCTACTTGCATTATCTAACATAAATACTAATTATTTCTTTTTCTTTTTTTTTTCCTCAGAAGCTCTCCGTTGCCAAGAGCACTGCAATTACAATCAAACTAAAAAAACTAAAAATAAATCTGATTCTTGTAATCCTGATGATGTTCCCTTGAACAGATTGTATTGATGTATTTTAATTGTATTGGTGCGTTTTTTCATGGCCTCGTTGTTATCGCCGATTTTTTTTTTTTTGGTTTTTTATTTATCCTTCTGTTTTTTTTTCGAGCTATGAGTTTGGAACGGTGTTTGTTTTCTATGATGATGATGATGGTGAGATCCTTTGTTTTCTAGGAGTTTTTCTTATGGTGAATGTATCCGGATCATGATTTGTTTGATCATATCTGTTTTTTTTCAAACGGATTTTTTTTTTTAAATTGGCTTCTACAGTGTTCGGTATCACTAGAGAAACCAGTTTTTGGTTTGAAAAGATTCATTTTGTTTAAGCTGCACACGACTATGACACAACCACTCATAAACTCATAAACTCTGTACTCACGTAATTCATCTTGTTTAATAAACTCATCTTATATATATATTTAACCTAATTTGAACCGGATTTCTGTTTGATTATTATTAACAATACAAATGCAAACAAATAGCTCACAACTTTTTCTGAAAAAGCAAAAACAAAAAATATTATTTATTGTCCGACACACTCGTCAGAATAAATCAGCCCAGCCCTACGTTGTTTTGGAGTCATATGTAATTTCACACACCCCTCTTGCACGATCATGCAAATATTTTTGAAAAAACAACCATCTACCTAATTACCACTCTTTCTATATATATTCACCTAAATGACTCTTTAAAATATGCCTCAACGAAAGTCACTAAAGCATGTGTTTGGGGCCTTGAAATAAATTACGTATTAAAAGGGCCCATAATTTGACAATCTTCCCTAGATCACTTGGATACAAGAGCATTTGGAAGGTTTAAAGGTGAAAATTCGATCTCTTCTCAACTTATTCTAAAAATGGATTTTCATCAATTCATTGTAAAATAGCCATATAATTATTGTATGCTTGGGGCTCATGAGATGTTTTAACATTTTTACCCTGTATAATTATTTATATGGCTATTCATGTTGTAAAATAGCCATATAAAATAGCCATGTATTTAATATGTTTTAAAATTTTTACATTTATTAATTTTAAATTATCAATATATTATTTTTTATATATTTATATCAGTTCTGGGTTCGATTATCTCTGGAAACTAAATTATCATTATTTGGCTAGTTTGAGCTTGAATTTCAGTCCAAGTGATTTATATAGTGAATTGTAACAGATGATCGGTTCACTCTCTAGCATTAGTCGGAAGGTATACTAAACTTGGATCAGGCGGCATAGTAGCCAGTCCACTCTGTAGCACTACGTGCGTTTCTCTCGAGATCGACCGGATCAGCCAATAAGGTTTAAAATAACTATTTCCTATAACTTTTAACTAATACTCCCTCCATTTCATCGTTTTAGATTTTTGCACACATATTAAGAAAATATTTAATTTACATCTTTTCAAAATAAAAACACAATTATCTATACAACTAACCACATTTCAACCAATAAAAAAATAGAAAAGTAGATAAAGTTAATAAATTATGTATCGAAACTATAAAACGATACTTATTTTGAACGGAATTTTTCTTTTCTACAACGACATGTAAACTGAAACGGAGAAAATATAATTTTAAGAAAAATAATTATGTTTTTTGAAGTTTACAGTTGGCGATTAATAAATGCATTGAAAAGATTAAAAAATTATCTTTTTGAAACAATTTTTTTTTTAAAATATAGATCTATTTAAAACAGAGAATAATATTTAGTTATAAATATCTTAAATTTAAGCGAATATATCTTAACTAGAGAGATGTTTTCACTATTTTCTATAGTTTTGAAATATCCATAATTAAATATTAATCTATATATATACACATATTTTGAAAACTTTATGATACTAACTATCAATTGGAGTTGTTCTGAGCATAATTCTTAAGGAGAAATGTAACACACATTCAACCTATTACAGAAATAAAGAATACTGAAAAAAATGGAATTTTTTTTTCTCAGAGAACCAATTATTCTTTGCATAGAACTTGAACATAAATGGGAGAATATCCTTTTTACATATGCTTTTTACATTAGTTTTTGTGATTTAAAATTTAACTAGATTTTGATCCGTGCAAACGTATATGTATTTTTTTTCTAAATTGAATTGAAGAAATTATCGATTACGAATTTAAATTTTGCAAGGTAAAACAATTAAACTGATATCTTATTTTACATATTTTACATCTCAGTTCGATGTTCGTAGGTAGATAGATATTTAAATACGTGTATTACATATCCTAATTCATTGTGTATTGACTTAGTTATTTACTGTGCTTAACGTAGCTGATTAGGGCATTCATCTTTAACATCAATCAAAGCATAAAATTTTCCAGTATTCTTGTTTGTAAAATATATTCACTTTTTATGATATATGATATTTTATATAATTAGTTTTATATCAAATTAGATGACATTTTAAATTTTAATGCAAGTTTATTTATTTTTATATAACCTTTTCTATTCTTTTGTTAGCGTTTTTATTTGTTGAATATGAATATATAAATATTTAATGAATGTTTTGGATAGATAAAATAGAAAATTAAATTTTTTCTTTAATTTGTCTGAATAAATCAAATTTCAAAGTAAGAAAAATGAAAATAGTGTAATTTAGTTGATTATACATATTAGTACGTCTATATTAGTAAATACATTTCTTTCACAGAAAAATATGTTATATTTTTTTTCTATTGTATATATTACAATTTATTTATATGTCAAAATGACTTTTGAATGTATACTTAACGTTTGAAATCATTCTAAAAATGTATATTATTAAATATATATATAATTTAGTTATATGATTATAAACAAATTCTATTATATATTTAGAATGGTTAATTTGATAAAAAATATTAATAATATTAAAGAACAATATATTGTGATACTTTTTGACATCATCAAAATAATAACACTAATTATATGTTATGGTTGCATAACATAATACTAAAAATAATATACACAATCATATGTGTATATAATCATATATTATGATTTCATAATATATGATTTTTTTGTTAATTACATACTTATAAAATAGTTAATGACCTACAAAATAATTATATATGTTTTTAATAATTATTAGATTAATAGGTTAGAATATTATTTATGAATCAGTTGGTATATTTAATTATATTTAATTTATTGGTTTTGAATATATAGTTTTATTTTAGCATAGTAAATAAATTTGAGATTTTCCTTAAATATAGCTTATTGTTGGTCTATTAAAATACTAATAAGAAATATTTGTGATTATATTTATTATGAAAATTAAATGATAAGATAATTAATGTGATGATATTTTAAGAGATGGTCCAAAATGAATTATCACACATAAAAAAGTCATGACTTATGTTTTAATATATAAGATTTTGAATTAAATTATATAAAAGTTAATACCCAATTAGTTAAAAATCTTCGGGAAGATACTTTTTGTTGATCATGTTCTTAGAACAGTTTCATTGTTAGTAGGGAGACAAATATCTCACTAATATCATGGACTAAAAACAAATTAGAGAGATAAAGAAGGAAATATTTCTGCCCAGATATTTTCAGAAGAGTATCAAACCAAAAGTCAATATATAATTGGTTCAAATTAAATAACTGATATAAAATTAACTTTTAAACAAGAAAAACTTAATAGATATTTATTTTGATACTGTTTGATAAGAGCATGTATATTAAGGGATCAAAACAAAAGTTCACACGATTTTCAAAAAAAAAGTTAAAATAACCCCATGCTTATGAACCTGTCCCTCTTGATCTCTCTCAAATCAACTTCTTTGTGGTGAGTTCATCACTGTTTTTGGATCCCACAACACGTGACGACCCACGATTGATTTGATTTTTTTTTTTAAAACAAAATTAAACAGAAAAGAAAATTTTAATATTTAAAAATTAAAAATTTGAATTCAAAATAGAGATTCACTAATGTACATGTTCTAACGTTGCTCGTAGATAATGCAGATAGCAATGTAATATTAGTAAATATAGTCAACGAAAGAATATCTAATTTTTTTTTGTGAAGGTAAGAATATCTATTTATTTATAACATTAAGGCATATTTTCAGAGTTTCCACAGTTCTCAACCATATACAAGAAAGGAAAACAAAGATACAAAGAAAAATGGAAAATGTTTTTGTTTAACGTTGAGACTTTTCCAAAACCATAGAAAACTTAAATGAAACATAATTTTTTGTTCATTAGTTTAGTTAGTATTTATTGGTTGATAAAGGGTAAATATACGGTGCTTCTAATATATTTTACGTTAATAAAAGTGTAAACGAAAGAAAACCAACAAAAATGGATTCTGATAATCGATTTTTCAACTGGATTACTCTAAAAAATGTGTATGATACACGTATATGTTACACGGACAACAAAAACGAATAATTCCAAATAACTTAAACTTTTCTGGATGATACATATTAGAGGTCGACGTTCGAGTATTCGTTCAGGTTCGAATCGGGTATTTTAAATTTTCAAGTATTTTAATATAAGAGTCTAAAATATATTTAGATATTTTTACATATCGGATCTGATTCAGATATTTTTGGTTTGGATTCGGTTATTTTGGATCGAGTTCGAATATTTTAGATTTTGAACAAAAAATCAAATTCTTCATTACTCAATTCTTTTAAAAAACTGTCATTTTAAATTTTTAATAGGTTAAATAATTAATAGGTTTGGAAAGTTTTTTTGAAACCTTGAAAAACACTAATTTAATTAATGGTTTGAGAATTTGAATATAATTTTTGTCAATGCATAAAATAAAAGTTTGATATGCATTTTAATTGAATAGAAAACTATTTTGTCCGCAATAATATGTATATTATATGATTTTGAACTATGTACGACATCAATATAAATATTTTGGATAAAATAGAAGAAGTAAACTAAAAATATAAGGTTAAATATACATATGTTCGGTTATCTTCGAATATCCATTCGGTTTTGGATATTACCCGTTCAGATTCGAATATCTAATCTCTCTTAATTCAATACATGCTTAGATATTTTACTATTTTAGTTTGGTTTCGATTCGGATTTTTTATCAGGTTCGGATTCGAGTATCGGATAAAATACCCGGCCTTTTACATGCTTATAGTTCATCCGAGTCGTTATAGTTTTATCCCAAAAACCGTCTCGTGGCATAATTTATATATCTCGACTTAGCAAGACAATAAATTCTTCATATACTACCTGAAGATATATTTAGTTTGCAAGTGTGCTCACTAAACAAAGTATTATATGTTTTCTTAAATAATTTTCTTTTGAAAACACACAAAGTACTATGTGTTATAAATTGAAAAGATTTATACATGTTGACCCCCAAAAAGATTCAGTAATATGTAAAAACGTGTGCCTTCCCAAAATGCCTTACCAAACAAAAAAATGTAAAAACATGTCAACGTGTAGTTGCACCTATATTCGGAATTGTACTGCGGTAGAAAACAAATAAATCTCAAAACCATAAGCACTAGTAAAACAAACATACACTATTCGGTGGCATCCACCACCAATTATAAATTTATAACCCCAAAAACAAACAAGAATCTATGGCTCGTCTGTTCTTCCTTTTAGTTGATAATATATACAAGCATACGTAAACGTAGTTACACCTAATTATAATCTGAAAAAAATGCAGCGAAAAGATTCTAGAAATTAAAGGCATAGAAGGTTCTAGGAGAAAAAAAAAGGAAGTAAATACCTTGATTGACCGGAAAAGAGAGAGAGGCGATCGGAGGGGGAGAACATGAGGAGGGCAAGATCGATATCACAAAGTGTTGACAATTCATAGGCCTTTTTTATTAAACCTTTTTTACGTTTGGAGTACGTAATTTGTCTGTTCGTGTTATTTTCTATCCGCTTTAACTCCAATTTGGCCCGACCCATATCCTATGATAACTGCAAATAAACAAAACTTGTATTAGTTGATATGAGAGAATTTGATACTAATCAAAAACAAAGGGTACGTACAAGTGTATATACAGACAACTTATCACAAATGGTGTATATACTGATACTTGCGGACGAAATGTAGGGTTTTATGTAGATTGTAAGGAAGAGCTAGATATAAAGAGAAAGTTATAGGTGAACGGATTGATCTTTGCTCTCAATTTGGACGAATCGGGTCATATGGCTAGGTACATAATTTATACTCATTTTATATATATTCGTAACTTTTGTTTTAAGTGTTACTCAAATTTTTAACCAATACAATTGAAAATATATATAATACTCCGACGGTAATATACCTCCTCATTCGGTTACCTTGGCATTTGCCCAAAGGCTCATGCCTACGTGGGTGGTGGATATATATTTGCGTATAATAATATTAAACGTAATAATGTGTACTAACTACATCCAAGATCAATATCTTTCCTAGACTGCCACAGTGTCACTGATAATGCATACATTGTACCAGCACTGTGATCTGTACATTGTGAATGCACTATAAACCATGTGAGATAAAAGACCCAATCCTAGTTTTAAAACTAAAACACAGTGATAAGCGAGTAAAAGTGAAGCTTAATATTAAGCTGCCTGTCGATGAAGGAGCTTCAAAAGGAAGGCAAAGGCTACGTGGGATCGGTGGGAAATGGGAATATGATTCAGTCGTACCATGCCTCGAAATGTTACAATGTAGTAGTGTCATGACGACAACCTGGTCTCAGTTTATGACACGTGTAGTTCATTTTTTGTTGTTTTCTCTGCTGTTGTTGCTTATCGACAGGGAAATGATAAGAGAGAGAGAGATCCTCGTAGCGAAGTCTGCTAACGTAAAACGCACGAGTACGTAGAGAATCTATAAACTTAGTTTTTTTTGGCAAAAGAATCAATGAACTTTAGAGTATCTTCAATCCCACTGCATAATTTATTACAAAATAAAATGAAATTGAAAATGCTCTTAAATGACGTATATAATTTAGAACCTAGTTCTTGTTAATATGGGAGGTATAAAGCCTAGATGGTTGAGGAAAATATTAAGATCTGCAAAGATTTACAAAAGATTATGTTTAGATATATGTAATTTTAAAGGATTTTCTCTGTTTTTTTTGTCTCTTTTTCTATTCGCATCGTCTTCTTTTCTTTTTCTTCTTCTGCTTCATTTTTATTTTCTAACAAATCCAAACAAAATTGTAAAAGATTTGATCCACAAAATACATAATTACTCGATCGCTCTCTTGAGATTTCAAATCATTCTATGTTTATGCAATCATATAATCTTTTTAAGTAAAAAATCACCAAAAATCATATAAACTTTCATAATCTCTCTCTCACACAATTTGTTTATGGGTTATCTCTAACTTGAAATTATTCAATCTTGTCTAGTTGGTTTATTAATTTCTGAATAAAACCTGTTTGGAAGATCATTTGCGGCGATTTCAATAAAAACATTGGCATGTAACATTGGTGAGCAACAATTGACGAAAAGAGCCACAAATTAATCATTATAGTTATTTAGATATGTAAAATACAATATCAATCGGCCAATTTTTTCTTATTCCAGCTATAATATATATTAGCCGTGCATGAATTTGTCATTTATATAGCCGGCTAATATTCTGTTTGTTCCAGCTACAATATATATTAACCTGATATACTATTCATGATTAACAATCCCCTTCTTATTATTTGAGGAGAATTTTTAACATTAAACCTTTTGTTCATGTGTTATTAACCATTATGCCATTACTTATGTGGCATCACCACAATTCACCTCATTGCCTTTTTGGAATAACCCTTTCTTAACTAGAGATATTACATTTTATGCCATTGGAGACAAACCTATATACTTTCATTTTATTCATCATATACCTCTAAATATTTATTATTAATAAATATTCGAACATTACTTCATTACGTATTTGACAATGCTAATAAACATTCATCATTCTTTTTATAAACATTCACTACGCCCGGGTTATCTTCATTATTATAAAATTTATACAATATACATTCATTATTATATTTTAATATGACCCGCACAATAGAGATCGAGATGTAATGTAACTTTATAATATATTTTAGAATATTGAATGAAAGACCATTTGTTGTTATCGTATTTGATAATGGTATTAGTCAAATATGTAACTTTATAATATAAGTAAGTAATGGTGAATATAAAGTTACATTACATATTACATTACATATTACATATTAAAATATAATAATGAATGTTGTTATCGTATTTGATAATGGTATTAGTCAAATATGTAACTTTATAATATAAGTAAGTAATGGTGAATAAATACATATTTATAAACAGAAAATATAATAAAAATTATAATATTTATATTATTTTAACAAATTTGAATTACTAAATACCTGTGAATAAATGTTGTCTTGATGAAAAAATACAATGAATCAGATATATCAACCTTTGTACAACTTTAAATTAAGGAAAATATGATTTCCCCCATCATACAATTAATTTGGAAATCTTTAGAATCAGGAAAGTTATAAGTATGAGATTAAAAAGAATTTAAACCACACGACCAACCTTTACACACAAAATTAATATTATGAGTTACATTAAGTAAGTCAATCACGTATTTTAATCACGTATTTTAAGTAAGTCAATCACGTAATTTTCAAATTGACGTATTTTTAATTTTAAAATATAATATTAATCATTGATTTATATAATTACCGATTATATATAACTTTATAATAGAATTTTGAATGTTGAATAAATATTTTCTGTAGTTATCGTATTTGACAAATGATATTGATCAAATGTTTATTATAATGCAAATTCCAGTAAAAATATTATTGACATGTAAATAAATGTATATCAAACTATATGTTATCTTTATCATGTTATATATATATATATATATATCCACATATAAAAAATCACTTTTGAACATATTTTTATATTGAAAAAAATCTAAATGATTATTGTTTCCTATAATACATATGAAATCACAATCATGTCATTATGATAATGGCCAAACTTTATATAAATGGTAATTATCATAAATTATGTCATTATGATTTCTATTATACATTATGATTCTTATAATACATTATTATGTTTCCTTTTTTTTTTTTTTTTGAACAACCAACAAGTTTTCAATTAAAACTGGGCTTTAAAGGCCCATGATAGAAGAGTTACAAAGACAAGACTTAGCCAACAGGTCGGCAGGCCCATTAAACTGACGGGAAACGAAAGAAACAGAGGCAAAAGAGAAAGCAGTAGATAGAAGCGATTCCACATCCGCTAGGACTCCGAAGAGTTCTATCGATCGTCGATTCGAGTTGATGGCTGAAACAAGCCCTTGACAGTCTGAGCGAAGCCAGATTTGATTGTGATTGAGAAGAGAAGCTTGGCTGAGAGCACAGCGAATAGCTAAAGCTTCTGCAAGGAGAGGGGAAGAGACGTTTTCCTGGTAGCAAGAGTCTCTCGAGAGTTCTGATCCCTTATGATCGGTAAAGATCCAAGCAAGTCCCGCCGATTTGTTCTCCGATCTCCACGCCGCATCTGTATGGCAAATAACACCGCAAGAGGGATTGGCCGGAGGGAGACGAAGAGGTTTCTGACGAATCAGTTTTGGCGATTTACCCTGAGCAGATTCCCACTCCTTACAAGCAGTGATGGCTTTGATGATAATTTCCTGTGGCGTCAGAGATCTTTTCTCGAACAAAAGCTGATTTCGAGAGATCCAAAGGTTCCAAACAATCCACGGGAAGATATTGGAGGTGATTCCGACGGGTGGAAGGTTGATGCGTAGATGTGATAAGGCTAATTCCTCTTTGAAGGAGCTGCTTGTCGATGCAATTAGCTGAGATGACCAAGGAGCCAGTTCCCAAGTAGCCGAGGCAAAAGGGCAATGGAAGAGCAAGTGGAGGAGAGATTCCCGGTCCCCGCATCGTAAGCACGCAACATCATTGGTGATCTTTCGTCGTTGCAGATTAGCTTTTGTTGGTAACACATTCCTAGCGCACTTCCAGAGGAAATATTTCAGCTTTGGGAGCAGTGGGGGGTTCCAAATGTGCTTCTTCCAATTCCAGGAGGAGGGGGTATCCATGAGTTGAGGTGTCGAACGGATAATAGCTTGTTGAGTGGAGTAATATCCTGACTTCGTAGAGTAGATCCCTGAAGGATGTTGCGTCCAGATATATGAATCTTGGGTCCCAAGCAGGCTCGGACGGAGAGAAAGGATTTGCTGCGAAAACTCAGGTAGAATGTTCTCAATCCTCAGCTTGTTCCATTCTTTTGTTTCCCGAGATAAAAGGTCAGACACAAAAAGGTCTTGATCTTTGAGCTGGGCAGGTCCTAAAGGTTTGAGGTCATTCGCAGGACAAATCCAAGAGTCCGTCCAAACTCTAGTCGATTCACCATTGCCAATGGCTTTTCCGAGGTGAGATAGTAGGAGGTCGCGTCCCCAGATGACCCCTTTCCAACCATGAGAAGAGGAGGGAGCAGCGGTGACTTTGGTGAAAGAAGATTTGGAGCAGTACTTTCCCAATAAGACGCGAGCAAGAAGACAGTCCGGTTTAGAAAGGAGCCTCCAAGCGATTTTTGCCAAAAGGGCCTGGTTGAACAGTTGGACATCTCGGAAGCCTAAACCACCCAACTGCTTAGGTAGAGTTAAGGTATCCCAAGCAACCCAACTAATTTTATTCTCTCCATCCTTTGCGTCCCACCAGAACCTTGTCAACACCGATTGAATCTGATTGCAGAGGCCTACGGGTAGCTGGAAACAAGACATAGCAAAAGTGGGAGTTGCGGATAAAATAGATTGGAGCATTGTAGCTTTGCCCGCGGTGGAGAGGAATCTCGATTTCCAGCTGATGGCCTTTTGTTTCATCTTGTCCACAATAGACGCAAACAGGTCTTTCTTATTATGTTTCCTATAATACATATAAAGTCACAATCATGTCAT